AAAAATCAAAAAAAATGAGAGAAATACACAAAAAAACAAAAAAAGTTGAGGTGTATATACACCCCAACTATGCATGCAGCAGCAGAATAAATATAAAGAAAAGAAATACACAAAATATATAATTATAATAAAAATAAATATAAATATAAAATTAAAAATATCAAAAAAAAACAAATAAAATAAAAAAAAACATAAAACAAAAACCAGAATTAAAATAAAAACAAAACAAAATAAAATAAAATAAAATAAAATAAAAAATAAAATAAAATAAAATAAAATAAAATAAAATAAAATAAAATAAATAAAAAGACAAACCGCCTCTGGTAGTGTGTTTATGGTGGGTGGGAGTTCAGTATTATTAAAAAATAAAAAAAATATAAAAAAATATAAAAAAAAAACAAATAAAATAAATAAAAACATGAAACAAAGACCAGAATAAAGATAAAAACAAAACAAAACAAAACAAAACAAAATAAAAATGAAATAAAATAAATAAAAAGACAAACCGCCTCTGGTAGTGTGTTTATGGTGGGTGGTAGTTCAGTATTATTAAAAAATAAAAAAAATATAAAAAAATATAAAAAAAACAAATAAAATAAATAAAAACATGAAACAAAAACCAGAATATAAATAAAAACAAAACAAAACAAAATAAAAATAAAATAAAATAAATAAAAAGACAAACCGCCTCTGGTAGTGTGTTTATGGTGGGTGGTAGTTCAGTATTATTAAAGAAATTAAAAAACGATAAAAAACAAAAATACAAAAACAAAACAAATAAAATAAATAAAAACATGAAACAAAGACCAGAATACAAACAAAAACAAAATAAAATAAAATAAAATAAAATAAAATAAAATAAAATAAATAAAAACACTGACCGCCTCTGGTAGTGTGTTTATGGTGGGTGGTAGTTCAGTATTATTAAAAAAATTAAAAAACGATTGCTTTTCTTCTATCTTCTGCACCACCCTTATTTCTTTGGTTCTCATATTTCTTTGTTTTGTTATACGAACAGACTTTGTTAGGTCCTGAGTATATAAATATATAAATATATAAATATATAAATATATAAATATATAAATATATAAATATAAATATATATATGTATACCTAGCTAGCTAGCTAGCTAGCTAGCTAGCTAGGTGGATGCAACAGAAGGGAAGAAAGAAGCAGAAAAAAAGAAAAAGAAAGGAAGAAAGAAAAAGGCAAAAATTATTGTTTAGGGTTTTTTAATGGTTTAGGGTTTTTTC